AAAGTTGAGTTCAATTCTACACAAGTAATAAAAAAATGTGAAATTGAGTAAAATCATATGAAATCTATTCAAATATTAATAAAATCAACAATAATTCAACTTATCAAGTACCATAAAAAAAGAGTTAGTAAATTTTGTACTAAAGGTTTATTAAAACTTTTGTTAAGCTCTTAATATTACATTTCTCCTATTAGAAAAAGGTAAAAAATAGAAAGAGAGAATCAAAATTAGGATTACGATGGCAATGATTGAAGACAACTTTTGAATAAGTACAAGTGCTACTCCTACTCATAAGGTGAAAAGGTAAATGAAAAACAACTAAAAAATAGTATTAAGAAGTTGTATCACTTGTTGTGTCTTGACCTAAAATATTTTTAACATAAACAATGAGAGATAGGAGGAAATTAGAGCAAAAAGAGATATATAATAAAGAGTAGTGATAGGGAGGACAAAACTTTAGGATTAATGATATGTATAAATCACATCATTAAATTAATTGATACATATAATATTATAAGTTTCAAAAAATAAAAAGATCCAATCATTAAATAATATAAAGTTCACATTCTAATATTTTAAATGATATGGTTTATGTCACCTCATTAATCTTAGATTTTGGCCACAAATTTTGATCCCATTTATTATTATTCATAATAATAATTGAGATACAAAGAGTGACTCCATAAGAATAATATAGAAGGAAAGATTTGATTGATAAAAAAAATATAACAAAAGATAAGTGAGATAAAAGAATAACAAAAAATAATTAATTAATATGGAGAGAAAAAATTAAAGTGAGTATAAGATAAAAATATATAATGATAAAATATGAAGAGTAAGCTAAGAGATGCAACCCAAAAAAAGTAAAAAAACATATGAAGTAAGGAAGTGATTGTTCCAAGATAATAATATTAAAAAATTGTGCATTTTTTATTTCAACGTAAAACATTTTTTTTATAAAGAAAAGACGAGAGAAAACTTGGGGTAAAAAGAGATATAAATAATAATATATTTAGATGTAAGGAACAACTAAGCAATAATAATAGAAATGAAATGACAATGCAAGAAAGAATAAAAACAAATAAAATATTAATAAAAAGTGTAAATTACTAATGCAAATTGGTTTATCTAATTGTGTCTCTTTTTCATTAATTGTGTAGAAAAACACAAAAATTAACTTCATTTTCAAAATCAATGATATGTGTAAAATTTTAATTGAACAATTGATAAAATTGAGAAAAAAAAAATTGCACTTAATGCATCCAAACACAAGTTAGAAAAACTCAATATTCAAAGGGAAAATGATGGCAAACGTATGATATAGAAACAAACATAATAATAAATAGTGATGAGGGAAGCTAATTAAGAGATGGAATTACAAGAAAAACAAGTGAGACTTGTAGTAAATTAGGTAAGTGAAAAGGTACCAAAGAATGATAGTAATAAATAGAGAATCAAAACGAGGATTATGATGACAATAGTTAAGGACAATTTTTGAAGGAGTACAAGAAGTACTTTGAACTTGAGGTGCAAAGGTAAGTAAAAAAGAACTAGAGAATAATGTGAAGAAGTTATGTCACTTATGTATTGGCCTAAAACATTTCTAATTTAGGCAATAGGAGATAAAAGGAAATTATAGTAAAAAGAGAAATATAATGATAAATGAAGATATAAAGAGTGACTATGAAAGAAAAATATAGAAGGAAAGATTGGCTAATAAAAACAAAAATTAGAATGAAAGATAAGGGAGATAAAATAATAATAACAAATAAATTATTAAAATAGATAGAGAAAATGAAGGTGAGTATGAGGTAAAATATATATGCAATAATAAAATTTAAGGAGCAAGCTAAGAGTTAAAGCTGAAGAAAAATAATGATATATATATATATATATGAAGTAAGCAAGTAAAAATGTAATGTATTGAGATAAAAATACTAAGAATGTAACACCCCTCACGATTAGTTTATAGTCACACTTTGAATCACACATTGACCCATGGACTACCTAGCCAGGCCTTTTAAATGCACCATAGGGTTTTCAAAAATCATTTAACGATGCAAAATTTAAAACCAATATATTAAAAAGGAAAAGTTTACAACACTGATTTGTTGCCTCAAATACCCCAAGAGGGGGAGTGAATTAAAGTCTTCAAATTTGTCTTCTTTTTTGCAACCACCAAATGAAAAAACAAAGAGAGAAAGGAAGAAGAGCTTGCACAATTGATTTTATAGAGATTTAGTCTAACCACTCAACACCTAATTCTCTACCTTGGCTTCACTTACTAACGATTTCCTCCTCACGCTCCACTAATAATCAAAAGTAGCTTAAAGGAGCAACCCAATCAATTTACAAAGTGTTTTTTACTCAAACACTTCCCTTTACAAGAATCCCCAAAAACCTCCCTTGGTTTCTCTCTTGAAGGCTTCACTCACCCTCAAGTATCACTTCTTCGTGCTTCACTCACTCCCAAGATCACACAGAAAGGGTAGAAAGAAAAATTACAAAGGATATGATGATCTTTCAAAGACCTAATTTGCAAGTGTAAGCTCAAAACCTAGAAAGGATTTGCAAATATAAGCTCAACTCTTGTTTTTGATCTTCTAATATATGTCTAGAGGCTCTCCAAGATGTTTACCAATAATATTTATAGAGTCAAGGTCAAAACTAACTGTTTATAACTATTGGAGTCCTTTTAATGCACTATAGATTAGTTTAGCTTCTAGAAAATATATTGCAGATTTTGACCATCAAGTCAACTATATCTTTAGAGCTGGCATTTAATAGCCAGCCATCAACATCAAAGCCAACTCTATTGCTACCTCTACACTTTCTGTTTTTTCTTTGAGCCAACTGTAAAACCCAAAGTTGGCTTCAAAGTGTGTCAAAATGTGCCTTCTTCTAAACTTATGAAGCCCTTAAATTATAGCAAATCTGTCACATGAGTTGGGTCATATGGCCTCAATAAATAAGTCTAGTTAGGTCAGATCACAGATGGGTTCAACACAAACTGGGCTAATATGGGCTAAAGGCCATTGAAGGCCCACATTCGATCTTTTTCTTTTCTGGTTAAGAATGAGGCCTTGTTGACCTCTTGCAACACCTAATCTAAACATAGATTTTTCTAGAGCATAGGTTAAAAGTTATCGTTTTTTTCCTTTTTTATTTTTTTGATATTTATAGAGATGACGTTCTTGGAATAGTCTTTACACACGTTGAGACTATTTCCTCCCTAAACAATTTTAAAGATGCATCCTTTATATTAATTTGATATAATTAAAAAAATTAATTTTTTTAGATATTGATCCAATAATTAAATCTTGGATTTAACTTCTAAAATGATATTTACCTACTAGTAAATCCAACCCTTAAAGCTATAAGTTAAAAGCTTAAAAAAATAATATTTAATATATTAATTATCTAATTAAATTCATTAATATAATAATAACATTAAAATTAATATCAATTTTTATATTTTTTTCATATATATTTTGACCAAAAGGTGGATGTGCCCTTTGGAAAACCCTTTAAACATAGCTTAAAGAGTTCTTACATTTTTAAAATCTCTTTTGATTCTTGGAGATAATTAAGGCTTCTTGACGTTGGTTCCTCATTAAATGCACACAGATTCCCACAAATTGATAGTCTAAAAAGCTAACTAGTATAAAAAATGTTTGCATCTTTACCCAAGAGATTTATAATGTCTCTTTCAAGGATGTTGGTTTGGTCCATCCTCAGCGTTCGGATGAGGTAAAAGTGGCACGCTTTCTTTAGCCGCAAAAACCTTGCATTAATGGCTCCCAAGACCCCATGGTATGAACAATTCAACTGCTAAAACTTCCAAACGAAACATGACAATTTTCTTGAGTACCATGTAATTTCTGTCCCTTGCTTGTCACACTCATACATCCTTAATCATTGCTTCATTAGTGTTCTCTCTTTCTGCTTTGTTGGTTTCCCAAGAAAATGAAAAAGAAAAGAAGTTATAGGAGCAAAAGACACTATAGAAACTTGAAACTCAAAAGCCCTATTGGGATTCTTGAATCTTGAGAAGCCAAACTTCTAAGTTCTACTAGTCTCCCTATGTTCAGTCTTGTTTAGCCTGATGCCACAGAAAAGAGTGTTCCGTTTGACCTTGTGTAAATAATTTGCAACTCCATAAAGCTGCTTCTGTGCTCTTCGTGGCTCGTAGATTAAGACTGATATCGTGAGCCTCGCGCAACGTGTGCCCCTTCCCGCATAGGTCGCCTTCTGTGTCCATGGAGGGTGGCTCATGTACTGATGTTCTTTGGAAACATCCATTGATTTTCTTAATGCTCTTAGTCTGGGGTTAGAGAAGGACATAGATACTGGCACTGCTTCGATTTGGCTAATTTAAGTTCAAATGATATCGCCCTTATATTACAATCATTAATCTAACTTCGGAGATAAATCAAACTTAATTGACAAAAATAAATTTAAATTTACATTAATTGAACTTCATACTATACAGATCACTACGGGAGGTGATGCTGAGAAAAAAACATACAAAAATTAGAGGCAGTAGTCGAATTTCAAGGGCAGATCTTCGGTAAGAATCTAGTATTGTTGCCTAGACCAGACAAAGACAATCTTGGTCGTGTGATATTTCCCATCTGGGTCTGCGTAGTCCCACAAAAGTTCTTCAGTTCTGTTGCCCTCCATTGGTTTCCCTGCAACTTTGCTTCAAGCATCTCATTTTTCCTGGTAAAGTTAACCCTTTTTGCATAAAGAAGAATTTGTTCAATATCGTCTCTACGATCCATACTTTCTTGAGCAGAAAGGGAACTGGTAGAGGTTTTGAGGAAGTTTTTGTCATTGAATAAGTTTTTGGGCTTGGATTGCTGATTGATAAAAGCTTGAACAGATATTCTTGAAGGGAAATTGGAGTTTAGAGCTAGATGCTTCAATGCATCTCTTGAGAGCTTCTCATAGTTTAGTGCACTACAGATTCCAATCTTCTCTTCTTCACACAATCCACCATGGACCTGCATATATAGAAATTTTATCAGTGCAAACTCTAGGAGTTTCCTATGACTTTTTATCTAAATATACGATATCATGTCATTCTAGTAGGAAGAATCAGATTAAACTCCTAGAAAATCCCACTTGCCTATTAGAAGAATTCTTCTCATATTAATTTAAGGTGCCAATTCAAATAGAACAGGCATTAAACACATAAGGGAACTAAAATCCTTACTAGGCAAGTTTATAGCATACCTCAAGATACATGTCCATGGCATGACACAGCCTATCATGAGATTCTCTTGCAGAATCTGGTAGCAGCATGGCCAATGCTGCAAACTTGGAAGGTTTCAGATGAGCATCAGCTGCGACTTCCACAAGGAATGAGTCAACCAATCTGGAGACTTTTATTAATCGAGTTGGGGATAACCAACAACTGCCTTCAAGCCTAAATGCCTTTACTAGCCTCAGAACCAAATTCACATCATACATATAACCCTTCCTACGTGGAGATGGGATGAGCAGATGATCTATTGTTGCTTGATCCAGAAGTGAACCAATCAGATTCTCCAGCTTTCTTTTGTGACATTTGCTTATTCTCAGGCTTGAAGCCGGATGGAAAATAAGAAATAAGACTTTGCAAGAGAGGGAGCTCCTATCAAGCAAAGAAAGAAGGCAGATAGTGACCTCCGTGATTCTGCACTTCTCAACTGGCGTGGCACTAAGAAATCTTGATTTTTGATAATATAAGAGGAACTTACTGATAGTAGCATGATCGAGATTATGTGATAACATCATCATAGTCGCCTTTTCAATCAAATCAATATTCAAAAACAGAAAGTCCTCAAACCACCAAGATGCTTGAGAATGGTTGTTTCTCATACTGTAGCTGCTCCTTGTATCACATGAACCCTGGAAGCTTGAGTTCTCTGAGGAAAATGTGCAAGGACTTGCAGCAATAGGCAAGGCAAGCCTTCCTATAACACAATCCAAAACTTTCTCAAGTATTAATGAACTTGAGGCAGGAAGTAAATCTTGGCACTCTCTCAAAGCTACTAGGAGCTCAGACCAAGTCCACAAGCTAATACCTTCAAGAGACTTCACTGTTTGGTCTATTAAGCTTGGTCTAGAGCCATTATTCTTCATTTCCATAAACCTTGCAGCGCAATTTAGCAGGACCAAATTGGAGGGAGTTATCTCAGCTTTGCCATTGTTGTAGCAGAACCTTGAAATAAGCTCAAAACCCTCTGCGCCTCCAGGAAAGTCATGAAATATCACCTTGAGGTTCTTTGAACGACCCGTCATGCTACTGAACAATTTGCTGAATTTTCCTGAGAAAGATGCTAGAGTTTTCTGCTAGGATTTTAGACAAAATGAAACCAAGTTGTCATATAATGGTTCAAGCACACCATACATTCTTAAAAACGAGACAGCGTTTGTGCAAGGATTGCTAAAAGAAGAAAGCTTTTTGTGATACTTGACACCAGAAAGCCAAGTGGTTACCAACTCAACAAGAGGGCTATTAATGAATCAAATCAAATTAGTGAAACCCCCATGATAAGAGAATTCAAAGGAACCCTGAATGTTAGGAAATTATGGTAAGAAGTTTCTGTCTACCATAAATTATAAGTGGTCTTATTTCTGATATTGATACAATCATGGGGATGGACTGAAATTCTTGGTTTGAAAGGAATATCTGGTGAAAACCATAAGAAGAAACAGAAAAGACAATACTAACACTTGTACTCTCTTGAAGTATAGATGGAAATAAAGTGTGGAACATAGTGGAAAATTATTGAGCAAGAAATTGGTACAGAAGTAGCAGAGAATGATTGGAACAGAAAACGGGGGAATTTAGTGGAAATAGAAACAAGTTAGGCCTGCAGAAGGAAATGGAAACGAAATGGGAGAAAAAGACCACCAAAACCAAAAATTTTTACACAACATTTACTAAGATAATAACGTTTTTTTTCATCATTGTGTAAAACAAAAGTAACATCAGTATATTACCTTATCAACCATGAAAACCTCTTGTCCATTGACGTCGACTTCAAGATCACAGTGCACTTCCATCTTTCAACTCAGAGAAAAACCGACTTGGAATTAGGAGTTTTGGGAAGTTATGGAGGTGTGTTTTTTTGTGAAAAAGATGAACTTTTTCAGATAGGCCAAAAGGGAAGAATAGAAGATTAATGAGTCACACAAAGAGACGGTACAGAGATACAGTAAAAAGTTGTTTCTTTGAAGCTGCTCTATGGTCAATGAAGATGTAGACAATGTCTGTTAGTGAAGGGTAGGCAGACAATGAAGGGAACACGTAGAAAAGAGGCTACTTTTTATATTTCAAAATATCCAATTTATGTAATTTCAGACTCAATCATCTCAAGGGGAAGGTCAAAATTTTAAATTTATAAATTGTTAATTATGCAAGAGAGGTATTAGTTTCAAGTTTAAGCAAATGAGAATTTCATATCCTAAATACCTTTTTTTTTGTAGTTTCATTCATATTAACTGAAACAATTTAGCATATTTAATTCGAGAGATTTGTTCAATCAAATAAAGGCATCGACTAGCATTTTAATTCGATAGGACAAAATTATATTCCCTCTCGTCCTTTCCTCCTCTCCTTTCTATTTCCCCTAACCTCTAACCAAACAGGCTTCAGTAGGCAAGATTTTCTTCCATGCACCATCTTCATTTATCATGCGAAAGTATTTTATTGGCAAATAGATATGAACCTTTTCCGTTGCTCATGGCGCCAATTTTCTCATTGCCTTGACCAACAGAACAAGCTCTTGGTGGAGGCTAGCTCCCACCGATGAAAAAAATAGGAAAGCTGAACTGGATGTTTGTTGTGATTATGATATGAAATGGAAAGAAATATGTACCCAAAATTTCAAAGGAACTGTAATGGATGACTGCAATTCCTGAGACCAGGTCAAGTTGTTGTATACATATGGAAGACCATCTAGAGAAAAGCCTGCCTTTTACCTGTTTACACCACAAATTGACCTTAAAAAATAAGCTCAGCTACTCTACCTGCCCATCCAGGGTCGAGCTCAGACCCCACCTCACCCTCCATTTTCTTTGCTACATAACCGATGATACCGAGTATAAATAGCTACTTTGACATATGAAATGAAACTGTGATCAATTGTTCAAAGTTGAAACATGAAAGAGAAACAGGCACTTTCGTGGAATCTAACTAAACCTGTCAATATTGATTTCCTTATCGCACCCTGTACCCTAGCTGAATGCTGTTTATCAGTATATAACTTGACTTGCGGGCATGCATTATTTAAACCAAAATTTGTAAGAAAATAAATATTCAGTTAGAACTTACAACTCAACAAGAAGCTAATGAATATACATTAAAAAAAAAAAAAAAAAAAGTCAAAAGAATCAGATAAAAAATTCAGGAATGGTGACAGAGAATACATCTGCATGCCAAATATCTTCCTGAAAATTCTAAAATGACAAAAAAGA